CTGTACAGTAATAAACATAAAGCTAGACGAAATAATCAATCGTATAGATATTTTAGATGCCGATGCTGATAGACAGACGTCATTCTCTCGGAAAGATAATGTAAAACTGTATGGGATCGCTGAAGCAGACGGCGAGTCGTTCGAAGACTGTAAGATCAAAGTATTAAACATATTAAATGAACATATCACTGAAAAAGTATGGGTTAAACGGGATATTGTCCGTGCACATAAAGTGCCGAGCACTCCGATTCAGGGCCGTACACGTCCAAAAGAGCGGGTAATTGGAATTGGGAATGATTTGACGAGGCACCAAAATGAAATACTGAGAAAATTGAAGTCAGATGGGAAAAGGGGATATTTTAAAAGAGGTAAATTGTTTATTGCTCAGGATTCTTATAAAACGCGGTCATCAAATCAGCTCCAAAGAAAAGAAGACCAACGACCACCTACTCGCCCTCGAACACGTCTTCAACACAAACAACAAGCCTTGAATACTGGAGAAAATGTGCTGGTCGACAATAATGCCGAATAGGAATCCGGCCAAGGCCCGACGAAAATAAACTTTATTTCTTGGAATATCAGAGGATTAAAATAAAAACTTCAGTTTCCTGAATTAATAAACTTTCTACTATCAAATGATGTTATTTCTTTAACAGAAACCTGGGCTGAATCTGTCGACTAGTTCTCTGATTGTGTTCATGGGTTTAAAATGTACAATCGTAAATCTGCAGACCCCGGCGAGCTGATTGGCGAATTCTTTATAAACTCTTTTCCTACCTTTGCCCTATTTTTAAACATCATTTTGACTATCATGTAGGCGTTCGGCAACGCAATGATCATGGCATATAGCTATCCCCGACCCAGTCGAACTTTTGCAGATTATGTTGCAATGTTTTCAGATACGGTGATCGGGTTGCAAAGATCTCTTAAAATATTAAGTAGTTACTGTGACAGGTGGAAAATGAAAGTGAATAAGGAAAAAACAAAAGTTGTGTTGAATGAAAATGTCGCATACGACTTGTTTACCACTTCCGTGTGACTGAGAATGTTCTAGAACCGTACTGTGTCTGGGTGGAATTTTTAGAAGTTGGTTGAATAGGGAATAGGACACTGTAGAAGGCAATAGAAGGTAATGGAACATTCTAGAAATTTGTAGTAAGATCCAGACTCATTATGTATGCTGATGTAATGGTCTATTTATAGACAGTGTGGGTATATATAGGGGAGTTGTTCAGCACTGAGATCAGATCAGAGATCTCGTTGAATTGTATTGGAGTTTAAGTATCTAGTTATTGGAGTAGTGGAGTTTTACCGCGTTATTGTAATTGATGTTTGCAGAGTATAATAATACCAGTACCAGTTGAAACCTCATCTGTTGGCTTCGTGTTCGTATTTTATCATCGCCGTCAGGGAAGTCATTTTGTTACTGTTGCCATTTTGGTATTTGAACCATCACACCTGTACTATACCAATTACTGTAATATTACGTTGCGTGTGACAGAAAATGGTTTTATAAAGGTGAAGAAAGCGAGACAGTTTTCTAATATAAACATCTTGGGGTTGTATAATATTGTCGACTTCTATGGTCGACAGCAACAAAGGTTTTAGCACAACATACCAAAAAGGCCATGTTTGCCATTATGAATTCTGGGGGTTTCGACAGTATGATTGGCTCGAACGAATCAAGTTTCTTGCTTGTAGGTATTACCTTGATGTCTCACAAAAATCCTAAAACAGTTGTTTATTAGGTGAGTGTGGGAGGTATCCCATTTTTCTGTATACCGCGAAACGATGTGCAAAATATTGGTCAAAATTAATTAACATGCCCCATTATAGATATCCCCGTAAATGTTATGATATGCTTACAGTATAGAAGAGTCTAGAGTTAGAAATAAGCATACATGGATCACTGACATAAAGAATTTGTTGTTTATTGGTAATATGCAACATTTTTGGTACAGTCAGGAAGTTAACAATACAAGCACGTTTATGGAAACATTTACTGTTAGATGTAAATGTTACTTGCAGCATAACTGGCTATGTGACATATGTACGTTTGAGAAACTCGTGACATTTCGCGAATTTAAAACAGAGCTACAGCGGGAAAAATATCTTACTTCGGTCACTATGAACTCCCACAGAAACACCTTAGCATATTTTCGTTGCTCTTCGCATAGTCTGCGCATCGAAACTGACAGGGGAACTCTTGAGAGAGATCAGCGGCTTTGTAAAGTCTGTGATACAAATAAAATTGAAAACGAATACCACTTCCTTTTAGTATGCCCATTTTATTCTGAATTTCGTCAATTGTATCTTCCAAAATATTATTTCCACCCTCCATCTTTTCATAAATTTGTAGAATCATTAACTTCACAAGAAACCAATATAATTAAAAGTTTGGCAGTCTATGCTTATCACACATTGAAACTTAAAAGCGATATTGCTGATTTTTTGTAATTTAAGAATGTTTATGTATATACATTTTATGGGCCGATGGCCTTGAACTATATAGATTGCCAGTTAAACGAGGATGCCATAGCAACCTTCTCCTTTGCAATCCGCGAATGGAAACTCATCTGGAATGATATGAACTTCAGTGGTGAATTCCAAGATGGTGTCTTTAGGACCAGGATACGTGGCCTGTAATATAATGAAAGAAATAGACCAGATTTACAAATAAATAAAATAAATAAATACAAACTTTATTATTAGACACAGCGCTCTCCATGACAGCTGTCAATTAGGTTTATCAATTTATTTTGCTGAATTTTGCTGTGTATCCGAGGTTTTCAAACCTGCTGTTAATGAGATATTTAAATAGAGCATATTGCATTTTAACAACGTATTATATACCGGCTTTTGTCGGATGGTTTGATATATATATATTGTTCCAGGTGTAAATAAATATCATTAAAATTATAATATTTTCACGTAATTAGAAGGCATATATATTCATGCATCATTCTGATATTGTTTTCCACTTGCTCAAGTATACATTGGTCGCAGAATAAACTGTGACATTGAGTGATAAAACTATGAGAAACGCAGGGGCCAATCAGCACAAAGTCAATAATTGTATTGTCTTCAGTGATGCACCTATACACAATGAAATGCTTCTTCATATCACTTCAGAAACAAATATGTAAAACCATGAACAAAGAAAAACTGATTCCGCTTTCACGTGAGAATTGTGAAGTCTATTCAAATTTTCGTTCGTAGTTTCACGATACTCTTTTGAAGAAGTTCACAAATAGTCTTAACTGCACTTCAGGTAACCGGTTCAAAGAAATCGCAAAAAGCGTTTTTGATAACTTTGAGCATGTTAAACAATTTTGTTCAATGTCGAATCTTGATAGGAAGTTTAGAGTGTGATTTATCGTAATACTAAAAAGCAGCAAACATTTCGTAAGTTCTCTTGTGCACGCGCACTGGCGTTTTTCATTATTTCATCTTGCCAAAGCTATATCAAATGTTGCCAATAAAAGTTATTAACGATAAAGAGTCATTTTTTAATTAATTGCAATATTATATCAAACCATTTATTTAGACATGCTAAAATATGGGATGCCAATATAATAGGCACAATTAGAAAATTACACTGACATCGGATTTTATTTTGTAATAATTACCTGAATATAGAATCCAATCCACACACCATCTTCTTTGCCAAACTCTGCCTTGTATTTACCTTGACCCTGGGAGCGGAAGACATGACAGATTATCCAGTATACAACATGCGGATACACATGAATAATACACATCACGTGATACATACAAGTCATTATTACTGGCCAGTTCTGATATCAGCAGATAATACAATTGTACGGCGTAGATTTGGACAACTCTTGATTAAATGTCACATACCATATTTTGAACGTCGAATGGCAACCACGGAATCGCTTGAGGTCCTGGCTGCCCAGTTGCCGGATCGATCCTTACGAGTCTGAAGTCTCTTCTGTGTGTAAAACAAAGCGATATTATTTGAAGATACCAGATGCACGCTAAAATTGACAACTCGGATTCACTAAAAAATGAAAGAACACTTCTGTACGTTACGACAGAGGAAACTATAATTTGTTATTTCTTTTATCAATATAATTTCTCTTCATGTTTACACACATTTTTAAGACAGATAACTCATATCTGCAGTACACTAGGAAATAACTACCTTGTTTTCCCCAATGTCTTGGCTCTGAAGCATTTCACTGTGAGTGGAGTAACGTCAGTCACGAGAGTGATACTACCTGTGGTTGCAGTCTGTAACATATACACACGACCGTGAATATATGTGGTATATTAAAGCGCGGTAGTCGTCGCGCTGCGCATGTGCCACATTTGTGTTGATAAACATTGATTTTCCCACAATCCAATGCGCTCTTCAAATGAAAATCACAAGTATGAGGTTTGACCTGAGAGCGACTTGCACTGATTACCGCCAGTGACTCCTTCAATACCTTTCAATAACATGAAAATTACTTAATTAAAGCTTGGAAACGTCTCAGTTCGTACTCGTTGATCAGCGCAAGAGTCAAAGTCGCCATCTTTGTTTACATGAGATCCATATATCTCGCACATGCGCAGTGCGACGACTACCGCGCTTTAACGCGAGATTTCTACAATGATAATTCGTGGAATACATGACTGTCCTTATTCACTGTTGTCCCTTGTATTAAATTTAAAATGGCGTATTCGATATAAACGGGTATACTATGCTAAACAACGTACACACGCTGTTTATTTACGAAAAATTCGAACGCACACAGCCGCAATGATCACCGCCATCGAGTGTTTCGATTGTGCTGGCATGTGATATAGTTTAACTCATATTGCCTACCTCACTTCGAGTCCATGTCATATTTGGCAACTTGTAATCCTAAAAATAAGAGTCAACATTCATGTATTCAACCACGTCTATGATGGACAAGGCGGGAATAGCACTATACTGATAACATGTATGAGCCAGACGCGGGTGCAGGATTTCTTGTTATGCGTGGCATCCCTTACAATGACGTCATTATCGCATTGAGTTATGGGCAACGAGTGTAAGAGAAATCCGGAAAAGTGTCGGCCAACTAAATCAGCCTCTGATTTCGGAATCCAATGCAGTACTTACGTAATAAACGGCGAGGAAGAATGCCCTCATGGCAAATAAGTCGTCGACATAGTGACCAGTTTGACTATGCTCAGAGTTGGGCGTCACCCTGAAAGTTTCGAAATAATATAATAAAGTGAGGAATGTAATGTTACAGACATATACGATATAGACTTGAAAATACCTTTTCTCTCGATACTTGCACTACTGACTATTATTACTATTATTGGAACCGAGTAAATTTTTTCTGCAGAATATTAAAATTTAAACACTTATACCTACTTAAGAAACTTGGGCCCGGGTATATTGTCATAGTAGTAGTGGGAATCATCGGGAAGAAAGAACTCATCGCCAGATGCAGTAACGATTAGTTTTGGCATTGTTAATCTTTCTTTGTACGCTGAAGGGAAAACATAGAACCAGGGATTATGATGAAACGTTTAGTACAATGTAGATATATATACTATTGGATCTGCGGCTGTATAACTACCATTACCATTAACATTCCATTTCATATTAACAAAGCGCGTTAATACATTGTTTTCTGACGTCATCTTTATTTGTATTTATGCAAATTAAAAGTGCTCATGTTACATACAGTACATAATGACACAATAACCGTATTCCACGTCTGGGACAATGTGACAAGGTTGTCTGACAATCTGTTTATTTAGACACACCCTATTATAGTATTTTTTTTACTATAATAGGGTGTGTCTGCATCGCGTGTTAAAATTTGCATATAACATTAGCGCGTAACAAAGATTGTGATATAGGAAAGAGTGGTATTAACAACGATCAATGATTACTTGAAATCGATTCCAGGAAGGGGGGGTAAAAGAAAAGTTATATAACATTTTATTATTCAATAATTTATTAAAATACATGTTTGCCCAACTCCCTGTGGTATTAGGTGATTTCCCTTTCAACAGCGAGATCTCGCGAGTTGTGTGAATGACGCGCGCCGCAAAGATTTATTTCGTAACATCGAAAGGCCGATCTTTGACAGGAGACTATTGCGTGTTAATTCTCTTACTGCATCGAAATTGACCATCATAAAATGTGTACAGCACATTATTAAGCATGGAATATCCTCCCGATTATTTTCGAGTTTGTCCCACGGATGTTTGTCGACGCTATGACCTTTGTTTATTCTGTTTACGTTCGATTTCACGCACAACGCAGGGTCTCGCAGTGAAGGAAAATGATCTATTATATGTTCTGTTGTTATGCGTATTATTTCGAAATAGTATATGATTCTCACCGTACGGATCTACAATATCGAACATTTTCTGAGTGAGGGCGTCGTCTATATGTTTCGTGATGCCTTCATCATAATAGTCTTCAAAGGCAAACGTCCAACCACCCAGGGATCGGTAGTGATGATGTAAATTCTACCCGCAAAGGAAAAAAAATCTACAGTTTTCAATAGTTAGGTCGGAATATCTTTTAAGAGCTTCTAAATGTGTGAGTTTGAATAAAGCGAGATATAATTATAAAATAACTTTACCTTCACAAAGTTTAAACAGTCTAATACAATAGGAGCCATGGCAAATACACGTTTATCCACTGCAGCCGTTGTCCATGTCGTCCAGCCACGCTGAAATAGTTAGGCATCATACGTACAATATACCAATTATAAAGCGCCAAAGGAAGGGAGTGAACGAATAATGAGTTCGTGTACCACACTATAGCCATCAAACTCACTCCTTACACAAAGGGCGTTTGCTCCCAGCATGCTCTGCGCAAACCTTGAAAGAAAATGCTTCTGTGTGGAGAGTACTCTAAAACTACAAACCTACCTTCGACCCACCCGCAATCATATACTTCTGAACGTTTGCTTTTGGATTGATTTTCTTGACAAAATCACTGATGGTATCCATGGCACGAACCACAGCCTGGGAAGAGAATCCACGATGAGTCATGTGTGAATATATAAACATTTATTTGTCTTGTGTAGACCACTGTTAGCGACTACTGTGTTCATACCTTTGTCATGGGCAGGCGAAGCAGGTACTCTGGTTGGGTAGGGTCATCCAAATAATGCTTCCACGTATAAGCGATGATACCGTCTTCGGAACGAGTCTTATTTTGCGGATCTTCCTGAGAAATATAATATTCGTGTAAAACTTCAGGTTAAGTACAGCAAACCTCGTTTATTGAAATAATAAACGATTTTCAACTAATAAGCAAGCAAACTATACTGTCCATGGGAGAAATACGCTATATTCGAAATGACGAACGAATGCACAACCAAACAAAAGCACCATCAACGCAATTTAGACAGAGGCGTCTTGTGGAAATTATTGCAAAGGTCAACATTCACCTTCAACATTGATCGGTAGAAAAACATAACATTGGCATTGCAAATGACGTCAGAAACAGACGTCGTAACACAGTGTTAGTAGTAACAGTGGCGTACTTACATAGAATCGGATTCCTTGATTCGGAATTTGGCGAAGACATGCACCAATGCTATGTAAACAGTTGTACATTACACCAATATCACCCCGGTCAATAAGATAGAAAATTACGAAATATTACCATTTACAGCAATGTAATTGTTGTGTTCATATTTCAAACATTATGATATTGTCGATCATTCGTGATTATAGTTTAGTTAACACATGCAAACAAAGGAAATACAAACCAACCTGCCCGTGCCCAGGGCAAACATGGAACTCATCAATACATCTTTGTTCGAAGTTGGGTCATCGGGACTGAAAGAGAATAAACGAAAATGTCAGCGCTTATCCTTTTAGGAAGGATAAGGGTTATTATCTCTCAGTGCGAGTATTGATATGATAAGATTAGGATACAATCATTGGCATGAATATAGTCGCGACATCTAGCGACGAAGCATAACAGTGACGTCAACATGTCTTGGAAAGGTGAAACGATGTAGTCTACATATATAAGATTTTGGGTTTTATAATCGTCCGTCATTAGGTATATAGTAAATTCTTATATAAATGTTGTGAACGGCGTCACGTTTCTACGTCACAGAAGCGTTTCGTCCCTTGAGGACGCTACTCATGGCAACAATGCATCGCAGTACAACATCATGGTGCGAAACCACTGTGAATTGTCATACATCAGACATGACTAGACCGTGCAGCAGCTAATACACGGTTATGATAAATTTCAGCGCAAACTCACACGCCGCCGTTGTGTCCTCCAGTGACGTAGATGAACCCAGCATCCATGATGGTGAGTTTATCGGGTACAGTGATATACAGGTCATGTGACCATAAGGATTGATCCACCTTTAGCTCTGATGAGAAGAGTACGACACGATGTGAGAAAATTACTGTGAATATATCATCTATATATACATAACTGATCGGGGAAGTCACGCGTTTATGATGTCGACGAAGGTTACATTATTAGAGGGCGATGGTCGTCGCGCAGCATGGGTTCGGAATTTATGTAAACAAACACTGTATTTTACACGCGTTGTGTACGTCGCTATGAGTCCCAGTCGAGCAGGACGCGGCGCGACCACCGCCGTTTAAGTTATCAAATTGTTTGCACTTAGAGGTTTTTTGTTGGCAAGAGGCCGTAACGTGACTGTGTCGGGAGTATGAACAAGTCAATGAATCGACGCATCGCTCTTTTGATTATCTGTTAATTTCCGTTCAGGTAAAGGGCAATGGAGCCTCATGATCTCAATTGATCGATTCCTTAGTGTGCATCATTAATTGCAAACAGTGAGCGTTTCGGTTATTTAAGCTATAAGGGGAAAGTGCGTAAAACATTAGAGAAGTGACTCACCGGACAACCACTTTTGTGATGTCATATTCAGCACATAAATTGTATAGCCATTGGGAACGTGTACCGTCCTATCGCTCAACACGTGGTAGTCATAATGACTATCGGCTTTCATGACGTAATCATCGAGAGGCGTACACAGGACTGTTGGGCAGCAGAGTGCACAAAACAAAAGGCAAACGCACAATTTAAAAGCTTCCATGGTTTGCCTCTCAGTACGTAATCGGTCCAGTTGTTAACTGGTCAACCAGGGTACGTTTAAAATGATACGATGTTATCACGTTATTGTTAATGGTGAGACCAAAGTTTACGGGTCACTGATGGTCCTAGATTTGTAACGACATTATGTATTACTTGCATTACACGGATGTATACTATATTACAGAAATAACAGAGCATGTCCTCACGGTTTCTTTTTGAAAGATCTTATGAGAATCGTATATGGAGGTAAATTGGTTATGGATTTCTTATAAGAAATATACACGATTACAACATTTAAATGATTTACTGAATACCTTTCTTATAAATGTCTCATACAAACAACTAGAGACTGAAACTTATGATAGTCTTATAAGAACGTCTTATAAATTGTTATGGAGATAACGCATGTGAGAAATGCAAGATTTGCTGAATAATTCATTATAAATTATTTCCAGTATTGAGAAAATAAAAGCCAAGAATTATATCCCAAAAATAAATTAAAGAACTAATACTTCACAACAATGCATATTTTGTAGCCAAAGTAGAGACCCCGTAATGCAAACATATATATATAATATATGATAGAAAAATTGTATTATATATCAATATGATGCAGTAATAGGAAAATGAACGCGAATTGAACGTAAATAAACCATCTACGAAATTACGTCGGATCACATGTATGTTATACTTGAATAAGGTTTTAATTCAAAATACGCATGCGTGTAGTTGGGAACTAATTGTGAAAATATTATAATTGTCTTATGAGAATCAAATATAATTACAAAAAATATATTGCTAGAGCCTGAAGTCAGAATAATCACAATTGTTGGACTATGAGACAGGAAAATGAATATTCATTAAGCTCTTTTGAAATATGCGATATATAATAGTTATATATGCAAATTATAAAAAAAATATAAGGATAAATATATATTTCTTAGTAATCTTTATACATTTCTCGCTTATTTTGCATGCATAATTTTATTGAAAACTTAGAAGAAGATTTTGTTGGGGTCAGATCGATTGCTGAGTTAAGGAGGAAAATATATTTGTCCAGCTCCCTCTATGTTCAACATTCTGTTTCATTTGTTTTGATTCTTAATTGGATTATCTCGGATGTATCTTATATCCCCCTCCGTGCTACTATTGATTTACTTGTTTGTAACACCACTATAGCACACATAGCCCTGGATCATGTGTAAATTTTCCCAAAACATAAGTATATCAGAATTTATATATAATGCGTTCAATATAGACGACTATCATACATACTGCATTATATGTGAATGTTCTAACTCTGTTTAACTGTATGCCATGTACTTTCGGTGATCATGGGCTCTCGCTTAGAATCACCACAACGAGAGAAACAACCTTGGACGACTCATTGGCTCAGAGCGCAGTTGTCTGAGCACATCGATCGTTGGAAACTATATTGAGACCTATTGTGTCGTCACATCATATATATGTATATTTGTATACATCCATTCTATAGTCTATTTGCAAAACAACACATTTTAAATAAAGGGCCATTTTTGGATCCTCCCACGTCTAGCGGAATTGATGGTAATTTCTTCACATTAATACTTTTT